TTCTGATTCAACTCTGGAAGCCCCAAGCCACTCTCAGAATTATGCAGAATCGCAGCTGCCTCTTTCCTCTCTTCTGCTCCTTCACACAGATTTACAGCTTTTCTCCTGAATGTGATGTTGGAAGTTAACGTTCCTACGTGTGTTCCAGAGTGGAATGGCTGCTTGAGGTTCCTTTAAAATCTCACAAATTTCCACGGTCAGAAAACCACTACATGCCTCATCAATGCAATATGCGTGCTCCAGGAGGATGGGTTACTCCTTCTACACATCTCTGATATTTCCATGACTGTTACACTAATGCGGCAATAACCATAAGAACTTCACAAGCATTTGCCAAACTTACCCCCAGGTTATTTCTAAAAGCTTTTTGTTTTTGTTTTTTTAAGTCATGCATGTAAAGGAATGCAATGGAAGCAGTCATTGAATAATATTCAAGAATCAGGCTGTAAAGGTACCAACAGCTATATTGAAAAATCTCAAGAGCCTGAGGTAGCCCACAGTCACTTGTAGTCTTGAAACAAAGAAAGAACTGCTGCCTTCTTCTCCCTTCTAGTTTCTACTCTGGAGTTTTCAAGAGAACTTTATATATTATTATAAGCAATATTTTTATGTGTAAACATTTCCAGGACTAGTCAGGAAGAATCATTATTCTTCTCCCATACACCAGCATGCCACATAACACTTGTATCCATGATATTAATCAACAAGTCACAACGCTTCAGAATACATAACAACTGAATTCAAGTCAATGCAAATACACTATTTCTCATGTAGACAACATCACACACTCAGCAGAACTATACTGACATGTTGTTAAAGATATTTCAGAGCTATAGGGAAAAAAAAGTGCTTGTTATTATGACAGCTACCTACAACTATTTTGGAAAACCTGGAACACAACACGGTAAGTCAGGATGGAAAAAACATTCATTTTATATGTTGGAAAATGAAGCTAAGCATATGTGTCCAATAGTATTAATATGTGCTGAAACACAGCAGTGCATATAAAAGCCACCAATAAGCTGCTCCATATCTCTGAGATCTTTTAAAGGGTCTGCAATATTTTTGTTTGAAAAAAGTGTCATCTCATCAGCAAAAGCTCCCACTGTTCCATATGAAAAGGTCACACTGTCAAACTATCAGGATGTACAGAGTGTCTCTTTGAAAAACATCCAACAGAATTTGTCAAAATCACTATCAAAAGATTCATCTATGCAAAATAAGATGCTTAAGATGCTCTTGTACTCAAGTTTACTGCATTCATATACCCACAGAAAAAGACTGTTTATCTTCTCTGTATGTTACCTGAAAGCCCATACTGAACTCATAGTTGTGTAACCAAAATACATCTATTCTTAGCCGGCAAAGAGAAAAGAGGGAAGCAATGCTCTTACACACAACAAGCCAAGCACACCAGCCTTCTACTCAGGGCTCCCTCCCAACACTTCTTTTTTTTTTCCTTTTTTTTTCCCCCCCTTTTCTCTTAGTGGACAACCCCTCACCCCCCACTTTACCAGTACGACTTCAGCTGCGCTGCTGAACTGTGTTTCTCATAAAGGTCCATCACAGAGCAATAAGCTTTTTGCTCTTGCGCTGCAGAGAAATGCCTGTAAGGTATCTCAAGAGGTCTGTACCCTATGCACAAGACTGAAAACATGTCCAGGCTTACCTTGCCATTCCCAAGGTGTTCATCTGTAGCCTGTTTGAAAGGCTTTAGTGTCAGAGAGTTTCACCTCCACAAGCAATCTAGATTACAAAGTAGCCTAGGATTCATGCTACTGCAGTTTCTTCTAGACTGTGTTCTTCTTTTCTTACAACAGCATAGGGCAAAACAGAGTCAAAACACAAAGGAAATACTTGTCCCATTCTACAAAGGTCTTTTACATCGGCAAGGATAAAACCTGTGTTCCTGTATATATTTCTAAATTGTTTTCTTTTCCAGTTTTTTTTCGCTCAAATATGCCATTCTTTCCAGTAAAACAGCTCGCAAGATGCTCAAGTGAGGAGAGAAACAAAAGAAATGCTCTCAAATACAGCACCAGTATCACTTTTGCAATGATACCACACAGCTTGCAAGATATCTTCAGTTAAATACCACTGAATGAGGTATCTACACGAACAATATTCATTGGTGATATACAGTCCTACAATGAAAACACACCCTACCACACAATAACACATGGAAGACTGGCATCGCGTTTTCTTTTTTTCTTTCAGCAAGGCCAAGGAAGACTCCATTTGACAGACCTTCAATTTCATAAGGAAGACAACAGATTAAAAACCCATAATATCTTTCCTGACCTCATTCTGCCATGTGAAAGCCTTGAAAATGTATAAATCAATACTTTAAAAAATTCATTTCAATAACACCGTAAGTTTATCCAAAAAGTCTAAATGAACAGTACCACATATAAAAAAACCAAGTACACCCAACACCGCAAAAGATGAGCAAAATAATCAGCCCACAAAAGCCTTTTCAACTTCAATAAAAGTGATCTATAGATCACTTCCATTAGAAGTTGTCTTCATGGCTTTAAAACAGGGCCAAATGGATTGCTGGCAATTCATTTCTAAATTAAGGAAGAACATAAATGTAGTCAGAAGCAGCCATTTTCCACAACACAAATTTTATCAAGTGTCTCCCATTCCTAAGTGGCTCAATGACTTTCACCATAAAAGATTTACTAGCTTAGACATTAAAATAATTCTCACATATTTCACCTGTCTGCTCCTCATCCAGCATACTTTTTTCCTTGCAATTACATTATTAAAAAGAAAAGAAAAACAGAACAAAACTAAATCTTATGAGCTTTCAAATTTAATTTCTAGAATTGGGAACTTGCCAGAGCAGCCAGTTTATTTAAGCAGGATGTTGCACATGCTAGCTAAACATCCAATCTTCCAACTGCTTTTTTTTCTTGAATCTCTAAGTAAAACTCCACTGACAAAACACAAATGATTTTTTTAAAAATTTGTTTTGTGTTTTTTGGGGGGTTGGTTGGTGGTGTTTTGGTTTTTTTTTTGTTTGGTTGAATTTTTTTTATTATTTTTTTTTTTTTTTGGATTAACCAACTAAACTACAGCTTCGTTTTAAAGCAAGTCAGCATAAATTCAAGCTCTGAAAGAACAGAATCTTGCTAGAACGTGCTTAAGGTATAAAGGCATAAATATGCATGTGCCTATACAACTAGGACAGTTTCTTTTTCACTGCAGAGTAAACTTAGCTGGAATCCAAACTTTAGGCTAAACTTAGTGTTTCCAGAGGTACGCTATGAAACATGGAGGGAAAATCAGAGCCTTTGCTGAAAGTCAAATGACCCTCCTAAACTTCAGCTTCCCAGATTGTATCAAAAGCCCCACATGTCACTTCCAGCTTTGCTCACCTCAAACATACCAAGCACCCTAAACCACTCACCCCACAAAATCCAGCATGTGAATAAAAGATTACCTTTTCATCATTCAGCCTCAGGATATTAAGATGAACTGTTACAACCCATATCTATTTTCTCATTCTGCATGTAAATTCTCTATATAATTCCTCAGAAGAGTTCGTTAACCAGAATTCAGGAGAGCAAAATTCTGGCTTCTCAAGGAAGTGTTGAGTGGGATCCCCTGAAACTGTCCTTAAGGGTGTGTGTACAGAACAGAACTGGCAGCTCTTTACAAGCACCCTTCTGAGAGCACAACTGCTCTCCATCCCCCAGCAGAAGAAGTCGAGCAGAGGAAGCTGGTGACAAACGTGGCTGTGCAGGGACTTGCAGCCTAAACTGAGGGCAATGTACAGGAAGTGGAAACAGAGTTGTGTAGCCTGGAAGGAATACAGGGCTGTTGTCTGTGTGTCTAGAGATAGGATTAGGAAAGCCAAGGCACAGATGCAGCTGAACTTGGCGAGAGATGTGAAAGATAACAAGAAGGGGTTCTACAGGTACATAGGCAGGAGGAGACAGATGAAGGAGAGTGTTGACCCTCTGATGAAAGGTAATGGGGAGCTGGCTTCCTCAGACATAGAAAAAGCTGAGATGCTCAATGAGTGCTTTGCCTCAGTCTTCATGGGTGGTCAGGCTTCCTGTGTCTGCCAGGACCCTGAGCCTCTAGGTGAGGGTGTGGGGAGTGGATTCTGTCCCACTGTAACAGTCCAAGTCCTCCTCATGAAATTGAATGTGTGTAAGTGCACGGGGCCGGATGATCCATCCTCGGGTTCTGAGAGAGATGGCTGGTGCGGTTGCAGAGCTGCTCTCCATCATATTTGAAAAACCATGGCTGTCTGGTAAAGTCCCCAGTGACTTGAAAAAGGGAAACATTACTCCCATTTTTGAGAAAGGTAGAAAGAATGATCTGGGGAACTACAGGCTGGTGAGCCTCATCTCTGTGCCTGGGAAGATCATGGAGCAGATCCTCCTAGAAGCTATGTTAAGGCACAGATGAGATAAAGAGGTGATTCATGACAGCCAGCATGGCTTCACCAAGGGCAGATCGTGCCTGACCAATCTGGTGGCCTTCTATGATGGAGCGAGGCATCAGTGGATGGGGGAAGGGCAGTGGTTGTCATTTACCTGGACGTCTGCAAAGCCTTTGCCGTGGACTCTCAGCACATCCTTCTCTCTAAATTGGAGAGGTGTGGATTTGAAGGATGGGCTGCTTGATGGATTAAGAACTGGTTGGCTGGACGCGGCCAAAGGGCTGTGATCAATGGTTCTGTGTCAGGTGGAGGCCGGTCACAAGCGGTGTCCCTCAGGGGTCGGTCTTGGGACCGGTGCTCTTCAGCATCTTCATCAATGACAGATGATGGCATCGAGTGCAGCCTCAGCAAGTTTGCAGGTGGCCCCAAGCTGAGCAGTGCAGTCGATGCATCGGAGGGAAGGGAAGCATCCAGAGGGACCTGGGCAGGATGGAGAAGTGGCCATGTGAACCTAATGAGGTTCAACGAGGTCAAGTGCAGGGTGCTGCCTTGGGTCGGGGCAATCCCAGGTATTGATACAGACTGGGGGCAGATCTTGAGAGCAGCCCTGCGCAGAAGGACTTGGGGTCCTGGTGGACGAGAAGCTGGCCATGAGGCAGCAGTGTGCGCCTGCAGCCCGGAAGGCCAGCTGTGTTGTGGGCTGCATGAAAAAGGGGCGGCCAGCAGGAGAGGGAGGTGATCGTCCCCCTCTGCTCGGCTCTTGTGAGGCCCCATCTGCAGCGCTGCGTCCAGGCCTGGGGCCCCCAGCACAGGAAGGACGTGGAGCTCTGGGAGCGGGGCCAGAGGAGGCACTGAGATGAGCAGAGGGCTGGAGCAGCTCTGTGTGAGGAAAGGCTGAGGGAACTGGGCTTGTTGAGCTTGGAGAAGAGAAGGCTGCGGGGAGACCTCACTGTGGCCTTCCAGTGCTTCAAGGGAGCGTATAAACAGGAGGGGGAATGGCTGTTTGTGAGGGTGGATAGTGATAGGACAAGGGAGAACGGTTTTAAACTGAGACAGAGGAGGTTTAGGTTGGATATGAGGAGGAAGTTTTTCCCCCAGAGGGTGGTGAGGCACTGGCACAGGTTGCCCAAGGAGGCTGTGGATGCCCCATCCCTGCAGGCATTCAAGTCCAGGCTGGATGTGGCTCTGGGCAGCCTGGGCTGCTGGTTGGCGACCCTGCATATAGCAGGGGGTTGGGACTGGATGAGCACTGTGGTTTCATTCAACCCAGGCCATTCTATGATGACACACCTCATAGATCATTATGTTTTTATGGTATTCATTGAACTCCAGGTATTTTCCCAGAATTTCTTCAAAAAGCCAACCCCATAAATAATAGCACTCACATCCCACCAAGCACATGAACTGCAGTCAGTATATAACATTTCTAAGATCACATCCTGTCCAAATGCACAAATAAACCGAGGTACAGCTACGAAGAAAAAAATAACGAATTATATAACTAAGAAGAACAACTAAGAAAAAAATAACTAACTTTAGACCTGGTTGTGTTTTGAGAGAGCGTAAATTAATGTTCCTTTCATTAAAGAACAAGTTTTAAATTCTAGAAGTATTTAGCTGTTTCTGGTTTTAAACTGCACAGCAACTGAAAACAAGATTTATATGCCTCACTATAAAATACCAGATTTTGTTTTAGCTCCTTAACCTCTTTTTTGTGGCAGAAAGAATGAAACTTGCACAGGTTAAACTTGAAGAGCTTTATGCAGAGCTTTTCATTGTCAGTCTTATAAAAATCTGGACGAATAAAAAAATTCTGAAAGCTTTGTGTTTTCTCTGGTTCTCTTCTCTGCCATAAGTTTTAGGGAATGTACCAGCATTACGTGTGTCCTGTCCTGCAGACATACATACATGTTATGTTATGCAGTCTTTCATTGGGAGAAACAGGGACTCTATTTTCCACAACACCCGTTTCCCCATGAGAATACCCTCCAGCTTCAAAAATCTGCATTTAAGCTGAGAAACCAGGGCTCAGTCCTGCACCAACTGAAGCAGAATTACAAGCTCAACAAAGAAGTGTAAAATTAGAGAAGGTCTGTTTTTACTACCAGCGACTGTAATACCGTGGAAAGATCTGTAACTCAATGCTAAATCATGCTTAGTTGGCTGAAACAGCATTTCCAAGAGGCAAACAAGCTTGCAGGACTGAACTACTGTGGCTGTTAAAAAAACTTACATTTTGCAAATGTAGGCATATTTTCACAACGTGCTATCAATAAAATGTAACTATCCAAATATATCCACAAAACCAGGTCATTATGTAGCTTCCTCTAGTGGCCAATCATGTTTCTGCTGTCATTTACTGTAGTTAATTATTTAAATACAAATGCTGAAGCTCTGTGTTCAAATACATACTCTAATACGAAAGCCAAGAAAATTAAGGCAGAACATTTGTTACTAGTATAAAAAGGACAAGCAGCAAAGTCAGCAGAAAACAGAGTCAGTATTTAGTACTTGTTTGCCCTTTCTGAATATGCATTCTAATACATTTAGTTACATGGTCAAGCATGACTTTCCTATCTGAAGACACAGGGAACAAAACAGATGTTCAATTTTCATTTTCTTCAGATATTTACTATGAACCTTCCAAATTTCATTTTGACACTGGAATCAATATGTGTGCATGTGTCTTTTAATGAGGCTTATCAATGTAGGATGTAAATCTAACAAATATCACTAGGTTTGTTTCTGCAACGCTTTTTTTGAGGGAAAGAGTAACGAGGCACATCACAAAATCTGTGTGCTGATAAAATCAGAAGGCAATCCGACACACACCTCTAAGGCATCACAATAAAATCAAGGCATACAAAAATACGGGACAGACAATTAATAGTATGAAATTTTATATTGAACATCAGAGAGCTTCCCTTATGGGTTGAAATTATTTATGGAAGGAAAGGGAAAACTCAAGTGCAGAAAATGACAACAAAAGAACCACAAATCCAGCTTTTAAAAGTACTTTTATGTAACAGAACTGCCATCTCTGATTTCTCAAAACTGACTGACTCAAAACGAAAATAAATTAATTTAGATTTGGTAATCCCCATGTTAATCCAACTGAAAATACTCACAAGGATTAAGTTACTGAAATTGTATATTTCGTGGAAAATCACGTATCACTCATGCAGTGTGGAAAGGATTTAAAAATCTGAGGAAACAACTTGGTTTATAAGGTTATTCTGAGAAACAACAGCACTAGCGCTTATGTCTAGATGAATATCTTCCACTGAATGAGATTCTTTATATCTTCTTACACTAAAAGCTACAATTTCCTGCATCTTTTTTTTTTTTTTTTTTTTGCCTTTGTACTTCCCCACAATCCAGAGCAAGAGAAGTCTCTTCCCCAACCTCACCTCTCTCCCAGTTTTGTTTTGTTTTTCCATATATCATGAAATTCCATTCAGTTTTGACAAGGATATTAACTCCCTCAAAGTGATATTTCCGTTTAATTATTTTTATGCTGCCAGCAACTTTAGGCAGTGCAACAGTAACTGTTGAAACATACAACAAAGCATCAAAGCAACTTTTTAACTGAAGGTCAGCAACAAATTATTTTCAGAGCACTGCTGCACAATCCCTTGGGAAGCCTCCAGGTAGCCCAACAAGGCACCTGTCACCAGTTCCCTTAAATGCTCACCTCTTTTGCAGAAGCTCACATGGAACTTCCACATGCTTTAAAGAAGGGCAGGCCATGCCTGGAGCAATTAATGATTACAATTATTTCTCTCTTTTCTAGATATCAGTTCATGTGTTTCCATCTATTAGAGGATGTCCTACCATTCGAGCTGTAATTTATCTCTCTGTGCCTAGTACTTAGAAACATGCTCACAGCAACTCCTTTAAAAGAGAGGCTCCTCAACTGCTCCAGTGCAGTGCTTCACTACAAGACTATCTCAGCACTTTAAATACCTGTCACTACAAATCCCTCTGTTGTCAATTTCTGCCTAAATGTATTCATTTTTGCAGCTCGAGTGTGCCTGTTATTTGTCCTTAGGAGAGCACACAGCAGAGGATTTACAGCATAGTAAATCTCAAGTTTGCATATTCCCCTGCATACCATTACATCCTTAGGGAAAGATAATGTAACTGACAAAAAAAGTCATGGTCTCACTAAAGAAAGAATATCTGTCCAATTCTGGGGTGTGCTGCCAATTGTGTTTATGTTCCTGGCCTTCTCACAGCACATTTCTAAAGATGCAGACTCTGCTGGAAGAATAAGGAAAGAGAAAGATTCAGATTTGGTCAAAAACGTTCCCAGAAAAAGGTCTGTGCCTGTTTCTCATCACTCTGCAATGGCATTTCGGCATTACAGCAATTGAATATGCAATAGTGTTTGGGTAACAATCTAAAGCCTAATAAATAAAACATTACATCTGAAGCAGAGAAAATTCAAAGAAATTTCATGCATGCTTTTCATTTTTCATGTTAAGGATCGGAATATTAAGTACACTTCAGTGCTCGATTCTGCATTAAGTAATAAAAGTTCCTCATTATTCCCTGTATTTCATTTGAAGTAAAAACTTCAACCAAAAGCCAGCATTTCAGTCAGTATAAACATCAATACGTAAGTTATTACACCACTGACTAAATAAAAATTAAACATATCTAATGAAACGTTATGTGTTAAATGGACAAAACAAAGGAAGTAGAGTGATACTTTATTGAGCCAGTATGGGACTAAAAGCAAATGAAAGCCAGTGAATGCTCTTCCTGCATGATAGGATCCCAGTTAAAGAATTAGCGTTGTTATAGAAAAAATGGTCCTAATATTACTTCTAATGTGCCAGAATGTTTCAGTGTTAGTTTTGTTTGTTAACTGCCCAGCTGTTGGCAGACTAAATACCAATTAAAGAAGCTCTCACCTTATGTAATATGACAGAACATGAAAACAAATGGTTAGAGTACCTGCATTGCAATGCTTACAGCTTTAAAAAAATTGCAGCTACACACAGGCAAATCTCTGCACACCAGATTTTAAGCTAAAAAGTGCAGACTTCTCCTAAGTTCACTTTAAACCAGAATACAACTTACGCATTTCTTCAACAACGTCTGGATCACATTCCCTGTATTTTTCTATTTCTGCCCTTAGCTGTTCTTTTTCCTGCCGGAGGGCGGCAAGTTCCTTCACCAGAGCTGCACGTTCTGCCTGAGGAGTCAAAGTATGTTGGGATACACATTAAGAATAAAAACAATACAATAACATAGCATAGAACGTGTTTAAAAAAAAAAAAAAAAAAAACTTAAAAGCTGTTTTCACTACTGCTTTCCATCAATTAACTAGTTCAGCATTTTATGCACATACAAAACTCTCAGTGATATTGAATACAAATTGGAAGGAAGAAAATAAAGATCAAAATGAAGATCAAAAGAACAATTTCCTACAGCCTTTGAACTCGGAGCAGTTTTACAACCACTCACTTTGCTCTTGTGCTTAACAGTTAAAGGACAAGCAGAAGCACTAATCTTGTGATTAAAGACAGTACTACAGAAAAAGCTGCCATCTACATTTCCATATCTGAAATACCAACTACACATGAGTATTCTCATAATGTATTTTTCTCCTTGTTTGTTCCACGCTGTTTAAGAGAAGTGATCTCAAAAATATATTCAAATATTTATGTTGTGAGTGTATGCACTACTTTCCTCAGATTTTCTACTTATTAATAATAATTTGAAGACTCAACACAAACACTTCCACAGCCAACTCAGCACAGATTTCTACTTTAGTCTGTACTTACAGCCAGCCTCTGCACCTGGCTGAGAACCAGGATATTCCAGGATATGCCCGCTAGGGCACCGAGTGGCCTCAAATAGCCAGGCAACACCAGATAAAAACCTGACAATTTACAATCCCCGCAGCAGCCTAACAGCTTGAGGTACTATCAAACTCCAGCATTCCCAGTACTTCTGCCAACAGCCTGAATTCAGCCCATCCTGCAAAAGCAGAATGGAAATCAAAGGCTTCCAGATGCTGGGGGGACATGGAGGCCAGCTGCTTGGAGACCAACATTGTGATCCAGATTTCTCAGGACTTTTTCCTGATGCTTAAGCTGGAACCAAAATTTTGAAGGCATCAGCAGAATAGGATTTCCAAGACCAACAGACTCTTGCAACCAGGGCAGGCCATGTGGTAGGGAAGGCCAAGCCTCTAACAGTCCACCTGGAAACCTGACAGGCAGAACTCTAACCTGCCTGTGTTTCACTGATTGTGGTCAAACCAGAACGTCTCTGTAAAACATTTCAGATTCTAAGATATGGCACTTTCTCACAGAATTCCAACAAATTTTTTTACTGAATGTTCAAACCAGTTCATGCTGAGCACCTCAAAGCAAATCAGCAACTCACGACACCCTACAAAATTTCTCAAACACACTACTTCACACGCATATTAAATGTGAAGCCAAATGTTATTTAGCAGTGTGCTTGAAACAGCTTCAGCATGCTAAGAGCACCAATATTAGTTGACATCTCAGAATAATAATAAACCAAAAAATAAGATCCCCCAACACGTAAGTTCACAGTTACTTGATTAGGCAGTTCAGGAGCCACTGGAAAATTTGGCACATACACGAGAGCAGTTCAAGTTTAACTTGAAATATCTTTAAATATGAAAAAGGCTAGACAATTAAACCCCAAGCTGTCAACTTGGAGCAGCTACTTATCACTCCTTTCCTCATTAGTGCATGACCAGCTTAAAAGAAGATTCTAGCATTTAGGAGCATCTGATTTGTTTCTCTTCCTCACCTCCAGCACTTAGAAATCTCAACGGATTTCCAATGACTCATTACTACTTGCAAACTCTGAATACTTGGATCCCTTTTCCCTAATAGGTCACCCTCCCCTGCAAACAACTTACAGTATTTTCACGTCCAATTTTTGATTTTTCAATGCCTTTTTGTAAAATCTCTTTCTTCTGACTGGTTTCTGCAAACTGATTAAGGAAACAAAAAATAAAATCAACCTATTTCAGTGACATACACATTTAACATACAAAACACATACATGCACACTTATAAAAGTCCATACATAAATAAAATACTTAAATAAACAGTATATAAACTTCTAAATATATATAATTTGTGTGATAAAAATAAACTCAAAATAAATACCAAAACACTCAAGCATAAGATCAGGGCTCTGACCCACAGAGAAGAATTACAGGAGGCACGTGTTTAACTTCCATGCCACATAATCATGTTGCACGCTGCAAAATCCTGTTTCATACCACAACCTGGTATGTCTGTGCAAAGGCACTCACAACAGAAAGGCTTTGGACTGGATGATTTCTTTTCATCCTTTTCCAACTCTTTAATCTCTCCCATAGCCATTCCCTTACTTACTGGAAGCAGCGGCAATAGCTGCAGCAGCTCCACCTGCTCAGCTGCTGATACCAGCCTTCCTAAGGCTTGGGATGCCATTGGTGCTGCCCCAATCCTTTTAGTATATTGGTGCATTGAATTCTCTATGGCTCAAAGGCATGGAAAGCCATGGCTCCTCATGTGTAGCACTCATAGAGTTAGACTTCCTTCAGGTCTGAAGCAGAGGCATCTTTCAGAGGAAGCCATATCTCACAGGGCTGGCACAGACATCACTCCAGAGGAATTACCATCAGGATAGATCTCTCCCCAATAGCCTGCTGCCCATGTTTAACCAAGTCTATCTTGTTCAGTTGGAAGTCTTCCAGGGACACTTTGGAAGCCCTTAATCTGAGCCGGATGTATGACGCATCCCCTGCTCCTCGGGGGCAGTACTCAGTGTTAGCTAGAGCTTCTTGAAATACAACATGAATGGGAATGCAAAAAAAAAAAAAGAAGTCTTATAAGCATTTCATTTGGAAATTAGCTACTCCATTTGAAATCAATACCAAGAAAAAAAAGGTAGCATTCTTTGTAAGTACAAACTCTGGTTTAACTTGAAGATGTTCTGTGTATCAGTCAGGTAGAAATCAGATCAGATTAATCACGAGTATGATGGAGGTGGCTGTCAAAGCCCTCATTTCATTCTTAAAAAGAAACCAAATTCCTACCCTGAGCAGAAACAGTCACACAACACCTCTGCTTCTACATTCTCATTCTTCTCATTACTGATCCCACTGAATGGAAGAGCACTCCTAGATACTTCTTGCAATTCTTAGCCTTGATAATTTAACCATATTCATATACTTTTGCAACTGAATTGACAAGACTACACTGGCCTCTACATGAAAAATCATTTCTGCAGCATGGTCCTTTCCAGGCAGACTACATACAATCAGCTTGATTGCAAGAATTCAACCTGTTCATACAGTGCAAACAGAGCTGGTTTGGAGCCACAGCCAATTTCTACCTAGACTCATGTTCAGTTCATGTTCAGAAATACATCCATAAATGCATGAAAAAATATGGTGCAGAGCTTATTGCCAAGTCTTAAGATACAGGACATGAAGGCAAATAAAGCTCCATAGTGGTGCTTTCTAAGGATTAGGCCCCAGCCCAACTTCAGTTAACTTGGTTCAGAGGGAAGATTCCTTTCTTCAAAACTGCTTCCTGCTCCTGGATAAAAGTGTTCATGCATGTGTGCACATACACGCAGATAAGGTCTGCTCTCAACAGCAATGCTTTACTTTGACTTCACTTTATATAGAGAAATCACTTTAAAATTACTACGATTTTGGGAAAAATATGCCCAGCTGTTTACTCACTGCTGTCAGTGTAAGTAACCACACAGGCAGCTTGGGATTCAGTATGTGGCATGAAGTACACCAACATCTCAATTTTGGTGAAGATTGAACAACAGCACTCTTCCTGGGTTTTCCACAAAACTCGTATAAAATGAAGTGTGTTAGTATCCACATTATGCCTTACTAGATTGAAGCATACAGTTCAGCAGAGGATAGATAGCTAGGTGAAGTTTGTCATTTGTGAAGCCCAAGGAAAAAAATACCAGAGCACACATCATTCAGTATCTCTGAAGAAAGAATTTAGCTGGAACTAAACTCACCTAGAAAACAAAGATGTCAAAGAGCTTGTATAGGTGTACATACTACACATGCAAAGAATAAGAGAGTGCTTTCCGGAGCAGGGAGAACATAAAATTGTTCATTTATCTGTTTTCCATATTTATAAAGCTCTTTAGGAACATGTCTATATTCTCTAAGATGGAAACACAAATTTTTCAGATAGTTGCAATTAAATAACAAAAGCTGGTTACCAGCTTTTGGTCCTCTATATTCTAGGGCATTTAATTATGAAAGAGACAGTAATGATAAACACTGAGAAATTTCTTGGCCAGTTCTAGATTCTGACCTGTGTAATGTATAACGTTACCATGCCACAAGGTTGGAAGGCCTTCTTCTGACTAAAACCAATCAACTTTCATACAACTTTACTGAAGGTATTTCCTTTCTTCCTATATGGAGTTTTTTTTATGTGTATGTGTGTTCAAAAATGAGAATTTCAGAATTCTTTTTACAAAATAAAATAGCCTGTGTGTGTCAAAGCGGGTACTCCTATGGACAATAAAAGATGGGTATAAGGGAAGGAATTGTAGAAAGAGAAGAGAGATTGAAAAAGCAAACAAACAGGATGAGAATGTAAAGGGCAAAGAACAGATGGCCAGGGTCCATGCAAGGAATCTGTGACAATGGGAGAAACAGGAAGGCTTGGATAACAAGAACACTGCTGAAAATAACTGTACATGGAAGAAGGAAAGAGCACTATCAAGGATAAAGAAGTCAGATAAATGAAGAATGAAGACAACTTATACATTGTTTAACAGAGAGATAAGGACAAATGGCAGGTGATTGGTTATTGTGCATTAAAAACAAACAAACAACACACAAAAAAATCCCCCACCAATTTGCAATATGTAGGATAGCAAAAGAGCACATCTGGCCAAAGATGGTAAAACTCACCTTCCCACTCACCAGCTCTAGAAAAGTCTGATTGCAAAGGAGCACAGTAGCAGGTAGAAGATTTCAATCCTCGGAGCAATCCTGGGACATTTTTCAAGGGAACTGACAAATAATTTCAAGGAACATAAAGCACCCTGAGAGAAATCTGACTCCTGCCAATAGCTGTGGGATTGATCTGGAGGATAAGCTACTTAATGCCTCCCCTCTAAGTTTCTTAAAAGAGATGTCTTGTCTGACACGTGAACAACCTTCTGCCACAAGCGTAAGTGATCAGATGTGGAAAACAGTACAGACAGATCTACGCTTCTGGACTGGAAAGCCTTACATCTCCAACCTGTCTGTTCACACAGACCTCCTCAGAACGTGTTAAAGCAAAGTACAAGAAAGCAGGAAAAATCCCACCTGGCAGAAAGCTATTTAAACAAAGAATGAGGGCAGACAACACTAAATTAGTCAAGAGAAAAAAAACATCTCTGAATAGTAATTACATCGTTTGCAAAACACAGAGGCAACTTGCAAGAAGCGAACATCTGTGAAACAGAAGAGCTAAGTAGGAAACCATCCTGCTCATTTCATAGACCGCTGTGGTCAGTCGACTGCCCACTGGCCTGGCCCATTAATTCAGTCCCAAGTGCCCCAATGTCCTGCCATGCTCAGCTTGTGCAGCACTTTGTGCATGTTAAGTGCCACATAACTACAGTAACCATCTCTTCCAACCCTAGCCTGGGTGTGGTTTGTGCCAAGGAATAGAGATTAGATGTACTTAGGTAATTCATAATGTGTTTGTGCACACACTACTGTCAAGTTCCACTGTGGTAACTCAGTGATGTGCAATTGGAAGAGGAACATTTAAACTTGACATGCGATTGCAGCAGATTTCAATTCGCTTCCTCCCCAAAATCTGCCTGATACTGCTCAAGCTCAACACTAGTCTTATTCTACAGGATTTTAAAGCATTTTTAACCTGGTGTTGGCCATGCAAAGGCAGGTCCTTGCAGCGGATGAGGTTCAAACTGAGGTCTTACATGCTAACCACGAGCATTCACAGCTGCTACCCACTGCCATTATGTTCTTACAGAGCAATATCAGATGCACCATCTTCTTGCAGTCAGAATACGTAACCAAAAATGGTATGAACAACTATTATTTTTGTGCAACTGACAAAACTGCAGCACTGCAGCAGAATTCAAGACATCCATTTTCTAATTGTTCATAACTTTCCTAAATTATTCATTTGAAGTTTGAAGTTTTCTACGTTTTGTTTCAGGCCAGAGGCAAGCACTGTGTGCTTTTAGCTTTAAGAAAAGCAGTTCAAGAGTTTTAAGGTGACATTTGTAGTTGAGGGGTATATTTCTTTCCTATGTTAAATCCATCTCACCGCTGAAAAAATTAAGTGGAATTGACAGAAGGCATACAGAGAAAGCACTTCAAAGCATTCCTCTAGATTATAAAGATTAAAAAAAAAAAAAAAAAAAAAAAAAAAAAAAGACTGATAATGCAAAGATTAACAGCCAAAGAACAATGTGAACATATTGAAAACAGACCTGCTGTGTTAAAAGAAAGGCACAGAGTTCCACTAAAGGAAATCACTCAGCAATTGCTGTTGACTGAAACAGCAAAGCTTAAGAATAAAAAGGCACATCAATGCGCAAAATTGTTTCCTAAAATATTGCACAAAGCAAACACGCAACTGCTTTTTACATACTTACTTGCCAGGGTCTCCAAACACACAGAAGTAAACATCAAGCTGGCTAGTCATACCAGCGTGCTCGTGGCACAGCAGAGCACCCACAGTCAGCGGCAATACCGACACTCTGCTCTCAGGTCGCATGCGCACCGTTTGTGCAATGCCACTTTGCACCCATCCCACACAGCGAACCAGGCGGCAGCAGCAGCACGTCCCAGGTTTGCTGGGGCGTCAGTATTGTTTTGCAGTTCTGGTGAAACACATTGAAAGTACACGCTTCCTACCTAAATACAACCAAACAGCCTTTTTTTTTTTTCTTCCTTTTTCTTCTTTTTTTTAATCTTTAAAAAAG